GGACAAATAGCCCCTTAGGCGAAGTTTTAGCAAAATCCACGGTTTTCATTTTCGGGTCAACTAATGTGGAATAGTATCTCTAGATCTTATAGCGCTGCCATTCCAGAAGTTCGCTTCCGTCGTTTCGACAAGCTTCCCTAATAGTTATCTGTCAGCTGGCTACTACAGTAAAACTTACGTCGGATACCGTTTCGTCTCTCGCGAAGATTATTATCATGGTAATTTTCTTTCTTGAATTATCAAATCTCATTACTTTTTTCCTTTTGTTTTTTTCTGTTTTCGCCTTCGTTATTCTTTGATTATGAGTATGCATGAAACTATCCTTCATGTTGCTGGATTGTTTTGTAATAAGGTAATAAATTGCAGAAATTCCGCAAGAGCTCCCTTGAAAGTTCTCTGTCTGCTTTGGTTGTCCTCTGCCAGCAACAAATGCCTGAGAGCTTCTCGATTAAGTGTGTTTGTTTCTTCTTTTTCTTTTCTTTTGACAGCATAAAAAGTAAAATGTTTACACAACATGTTCTTAAAGTGGTTTCACATTCGAAAATTTTGATAGAAGCAGAATATATCATCTTCATTACAGTAAAGTTCGTATCCAAAATTCACCCCAGACTGTTTAACAGCAAGCACGCTATCGTGCACTTCTTTCGTTCATCTGGTTGCTCACCCATTTCGTGCGTATAATCGTGGTTAGGCTTTCTCTTGTTCTCTATATTCTGAGTTTAGAGCAACCCTGAAGACGCTGCGCAACGCAAAAGAGCTAGACATAACGGCAGTCGTGAAAGAATTGGCGAAGAAAACGGATCTTACCGCTTTTCTGAAGCCATTGTGGTCTTCGTTGCTAGCTATTGCGAACGAAGGTAAACTTTCATTTTTCTCACGCTTATAAAGGTTGATGCGCTTTAGAAACTTATGAAGCTGATCACAAAGAATGCTTACATGCGCTCCGAACGTCATCTGACCCCGAGATGCTGAATGGCTCGCAAGCTACGTTCTTCCTATCGAAGTTGCTGGAGCTTCCAAGTTTGGAAGTGCTATACAGCAATAAGAAGTTCTCCAAGCATGTTAGCAGTATAGTTGCTCGGTGGGTGAAAAATGCATTCTTGTCTTGGTTTCAGAACTGATCTCGTTCGCTCACATTTTCGAGAGTTTTTGTAGTTGGTTCTGCAGCAGTTGCTGGATTTTCACGAGAAAGTTGCCGTTTCAAATGCTAAAATTACCTTTTACGGTATTTTACTCTTTATGGACCATGCTAAAACCTAGATAATGAGCATGATATCAGTCTTGGTGTAGTGTTTAAGTTCTACTATGCAGGTTTTCGGACCAGTGGATGAACTTGTATACGGAATGGAAGTCAAGGGACGCAAATCTTTTATCTTCATTTGTCGAGCACTACCAGCTGCAGAATTACATAGTGGTCAGTTAGAGGCTCCCTGACTTCGTTGCGTAACGCTTCACCAGAACTCTTTCTAGGTGGAAGAAGAAGCCGAAGCAAAAAAGAAGCGCATGCGGCGGCGATCAGGTTCTCTGCGAAAGAGCATCTCGGAAGTTGTGATCCCTAAAAAGCCTTCGAAAGCGGTGAGATCTTCAAAGTTTTGCTCAAAAATTTCTCTTTTTCTCTCCGTGATTTATTTAAAG